TACCTGAGACAGCTGTCTAGAAGCATTTACGATGCTATGGTTGGAATTTCACGTTCGAAATCACCAGTTCCAAATTCATCAGTTCATTCAGTGTTTTGCGAGACATTTTGGTGGTCGGCGCTGGCGACATTGTTGCTACGTGAGAGTGACTTGTGTTGTGCCGACAATGTCAAGTGTATTATAAGATTTGGAATTTCAATTATTATTTGAATGATCTCTAAGGAGATACAATTTGTGTCCGTTATCATCTCATATAGGCCACTCTGCAACCGGCGTCTAACTGGCGTGACTCAACGAATGACAGATATTGCTCAATACCCTGTGTCACCCAAAGGATGTGATCCAGTTCTGAGTTTTCAGGGATAGCGACGCACATACACACTGACCACAAGCGTGGTCAGTGTGGAGGTCATATTGGCGTGACCTGTTTTAAACCCCTAGCTGAGGTGTACCGAATCTCCCGGGTCTAGCAAAGTTTTCATTTGAAGTGCAGCGTGCAAGTTGCTATGTCGTGACGAAGTTTGCCTACGATGCATCTTCACTTACTATGCTCAATCTTAGTTGTCAACAGGCTACAGCGACGGGGAGAGCCGAACTTTCTCCCTTTCCCCGCTGCCAGAAAAAGTCGCAAATTGACCTTACGGGGACGGGTCGGACGTCGATGCGGCTACGCACGGGCTCACGCTGCTGACCGCCGGCCGCCGGGCCGACGCCGTCACAGGTGGCAGCACCGTCAACCTGGGCCGCTGCAGACCGCAGCCGGCAGTTGTGGCCGAGTTGTGGAGCTCGGAGGAGGGAGGACGGCCCGCGCCAGGTGAGTTAAGACTGGGGCGCTCGACACTCATGACACCGCACTTTCTCGGTTGTCAAACCAGGAGGAGTTTCAAGGGTTGAGGGGTGACCCACGCACCTCTTTGTGGTGGCAATTGACACAAAAGCAATAAAATATGCGTAACATGCATGCTTAGACATATCCACAATACAGATATAACACACACACGATTTGAAGTCACGACCCACATGCGCAATGCATATACGCAACGCATACACACAAATAAGCACACACACACACACACATATATATATATATATATATATATATATATATATATATATACAACAGCGACAAAACAAAACATGAACAGGCCTGATCGTAACCATGTAAAATAAGCCTTCATCAGCTTCCTCGTTTCATCTTCGCCTTCCTGAGATGTCCCCGCGGACCGGAACGTGTGAAGCATCCCAGCGGAGATGCAGAGCTGGACGAAAGGTCAAGAGTCCATTAATTTGGACAAAGAATCTGGCGTACTGGATCGTCTTAACATCCATCCTATCACATGATTCGCCATCTTGCCCGGGTGATCTTGATGCTAACACCGTTCATTTACGGACTTCCGCGAATGCTCCTTTAGACCAAACATAGAAAAGCCCAAAAGTACGTTTAGTTCATATTGCAGGAGTTGGTGGTCTGCTGCAGACCAGAAGTGAGGTATGATTCGATTAGGGTCCAAGTCTTTCGAGCCAAAATTTTTCGTTGCTCATTTAGTACGCATGACTTAG